ACCCAGGGGTATAGAAATTGGTAAAAACCCAGGGGTATAGAAATTGGTAAAAACCCAGGGGTATAGAAATTGGTAAAAACCCAGGGGTATAGAAATTGGTAAAAACCCAGGGGTATAGAAATTGGTAAAAACCCAGGGGTATAGAAATTGGTAAAAACCCAGGGGTATAGAAATTGGTAAAAACCCAGGGGTATAGAAATTGGTAAAAACCCAGGGGTATAGAAATTGGTAAAAACCCAGGGGTATAGAAATTGGTAAAAACCCAGGGGTATAGAAATTGGTAAAAACCCAGGGGTATAGAAATTGGTAAAAACCCAGGGGTATAGAAATTGGTAAAAACCCAGGGGTATAGAAATTGGTAAAAACGAATATGTAATAGTAATAGGACAGAGTGGAGTCCAATTTGGTCTGTAATCATGCTTAGTGATTAACAAAATTAGACAACCTTGCAATGGGAGTCTGATTTTTTTAATCATCAGTATGATTCTAGACAGAATCAGACAACACAAAGTCCTGTTACAAATTTATCACAGCCATTACAATTTCCACAGAAAAACAAAAAACTGCACAAATAAGTCAAAATTGACAATGTGAAAAATATGTCGCTTAGGGACATTATTTAGAAACTTCCCAGTTTTGTAGGAAGTGATCACCGATATGGTTATTGTACATAATCAATTCTGTGATCAGGGAATTTAGCACAGTGGACTTAGTATGTTTGGCTGCTTCAGTAACTGTTAGATTACAGCCAACTGCCCAACTACACTGTCTGAATTTCAACTCTACGGAATAATAAGTGAAAAATTGAACAGCTAATGTACCAATCACATTTGAGGAAATGGAGAAACTTTCCAAGTTGTTAAAGATCAATATGCATTGCGTACTGATGAAGAATTTAAATTTTCAAGTAATAATCCTTTCAGTTACAATTTGAAAGACCAAGACAGAATTTCTCCCTTCAACACTAATACAATGTCAAGCAGACAGGTGATGAGAAAAAAGAAAATATGAAACAGGGGATTATATAACACAAAAGCAAATTCCCCTACAAACATCATAAGAATAGTATGGTCCACTGTGGCCCGAGTTCGATTCCCGGACCCGGCATCACATGTGGGTTGAGTTTGTTGTACATTGGTTCTCGTCCATGCTCCGAGGATTTTTCTCCAGGTCCTCCGGTTTTCCTCCCTCCGCAAAAATCAACATTCCAAATTTAATTTGATCTGGAAACAGTGGACAACAAGAGCCACCCAGTGGAATGTCCATTGCTAAATTATTTATTTATTTATTTATGGTTGTCAGGAAGGAGAATTACTTAATGCGAATTCGAGGATGAAAGGGTTAAAAAAGATTAAGTAATGTTTTGGTCTGCTAGTTATCCATCCTGTATGGACAGAGCTGAAAAATGAAATGCCATGTCAGCAGGTTGCCGTCAACAATGCGGGCTCAAGTGTCCACAGTCTAAAATTTAGCAAAATTAGTGGAAAAAAAAATAAGGGCTGACTTTTAAAAACCGAGAAACTCTCTTTTCATCAAAGGCATTTCCCTATTCCAGAGGTTTTAAAGAGAAAATTAATTTTTGAAACTTTTCAGGGGGTGTACCAAGTTTTTGGAGGTTGTTCTGTAAAAGAAAAGCGGCAAGGAAAACGACACCTCGAAGCAACAGAAATTAGGAAATCATTCATGCGAGCAACTCAAAATCCGTGTTTCCGCGGCAAAATCTAGCGCATGCGTGCACATTAATCAGCTCTGTCCCCTATATGGACATGAAAAAAGGGGGTAAGTTTCTAAAGAAACTGGTGCTGTGTCGGTGGAGGTAACAAGGTAATTTGGTTAAATTATTAAAAACTGGATCATTGGATAATGCAATTCAAGACTTTTTATTGGCTTAGCCATTATGGTATACGAGCCAATATACCATAATCTAATATCTTTACATTGTAACATCGGGTTTCTTCTTACAAAATAAAGGCGAGAAGATTTGTCTAATATCTCGGGGGCATTTTTGTTTAATAAAACAATTATTCACTCGCGCTTGTTGGATATGAGATGATTATAGCCAACTCGGCGCTACACCCCTCATTGGCTATCTATCATCTCATATCCAATGTGAGCTCATGGAATAATTGTTAAATATCAACTAAGTTGAAATTGCAAATTGGCCACCGTACAGAGTTAAAAAGCTTATGTTTCGAGCATTAGCCCTTTGTCAGAGCATCTATTTTTCATAGGTGTATGGATATGCCTAACGCTTTAATTCCAGAAGTGATTAACATGTAACTTCTCCCTATAATATCCTTATATTTCCCAGCAAACAGGTAATGAGAATACTCAAACTTATCAGGTTAAAGGTGTTATGTTGATCTAACACTGAGTTGCTATAACTAATTTACAAGGAAATATGTAGCAGCGAGAGGGGAGAATTCACAATCAGATCTTGGAGTTAAAACAAAAGTTAATCTTGGCGTCCAGGAAAGAGATTGATATTTTCCTTGCCGCTTGATGGCTCTGTAAATATCCAGCACCATTCACATTTACTTTCATGATTGTCTATTTTTCATAGGCGTAAACAGCCCAAGATAATTAATATCTCCGACAGGAAAAAAAATTTAAACATCAAATTCAATTACCTCACCTGATTTTCCATCATTGTGCCATTTCGCAGCCCAAGAACTAAAGACTGGGATTAGTTTCTCGTGCAGCATTGCAATGAAGAGAGATGCAATCAAGGCATTTTCATGGAATTCAGCTGGAACATTGAAATATTCCGGTTGCAAGGAGATGTCAACAGTGAACTCGTAATTGGCTTTGTCACTTTCAAACAAATGGAATGCTCTGACATAATCTGGCTCTATGAGTTGTGCGATTTTCTTCATTCTTGACATGAAGAGTTCATAGAAGCGTTCTTTTCCCTCCAGGTGGGATGCAGCAAAGTTTTCATGATTCTTGATGCTGTCAGCATACTTCTGTAAGAGAGGGTGAATGTCATACTTCCTCTCTTTTGCTTCTTCATCGACCACAAAAGTTATTTGACTGGCTACAAGTCCCTCTAACAGAGCAATGGCTTCCACCTCATCAAAACCAAGAACCTTGGCTGCTGTTTTCAAAGAGAAAGGTCCACAAAACAAGGAAATCACCACTGCAGATACCTTTAAACTCTCCGTTGGAAGTGTATCAAACATTTCTCGAATCACAGACAGCTGACCCATGTCCACTCCTTCTTGTTCAAAAGTGAGTAGGCTTTCTCTTGCCACCCCCTCTCCTTCAGGTTGCTTTGAGGAGGCAGTAACTCTTGCAATGAGATCGTCAACAGATGTCCGCTCCTGTCTCAAAATAGCAGCCAGTCCTTTGAGAATAAGAGGAAATCCTTTGCAAATTCTGATTAAATTATCCTTCTGGTGGGGTTTGACATCCTTCATTCCCTCAGTGATGAGGATTTTCTCTGAAAAAGATGTCTCAAGGGACTTAACCTCAAAATCATCCACCTTTTTAGGCTCTCCTACCTTAGTCCGTGAAGTAAGAAGCAGTTTTAAAGGAGATCTTTTTTCTTCACTTTTTAAAAGCTCTTCTAAAAAGCTTAAGAGCGCTTCTTTTAACTTTTCCCCCTCTTCTTTTTTCCCTGCGGTAAACTGGTCCACATTATCCAGCATGAAAAGAACAGCATGTTCCTCATCTTTCAGCTCTTTCACTTTCTTTTGAACCTTTGCTACGACATACTCTTGCAATCGTTCTACACGACCGGCTGGAACAGCTAAGTCAAGGGAATGAAGCATGTTGTAATAGATCGCTTTCATATCCTTTCCCTCCCTCAGATCAAAAATACGAGAAATCCCTGGCCATTTTGAACAAACTTCTTTAGCAAGTTCTGTTTTTCCTACCCCGGACGACCCAAACAAGTTCACAACTGCAGTATCTTTTGATTCCAGTTTTTTGTTAATATGCTTAATTTCATCGTTCCGTCCTTTTAATTCCTTTTCTGAGTCAGATTTCACCAGACGAGAGGCCTCGAAACTTTTCAGTGCCTCCTTAATGCGCCCTTCTTGGTTGGATTTCGGAGCAATGAAGTCCTCTACGAGTTTCAGCTTGTTGTTTGATACATATTCTTGCTTTGCAAGAAGTTGTAAACATTTCAACAGATCTTGCTTGTTCAACGAATTAAATTTCCCCCCATAGATCTTTTTCAAAGATTGCACAACATTTTGCGTCTCTTCTGGGGTAAACATTAGAGATATGTCTTCGAAGAATTGTTGTAACGTTGCAGTTTCGACTGTCGCCATGTTTGATTTGCGCTACATCATGATACCGCTGATCATTATAACAAAAGGGCGTAAGTTTACTCAAAGAAAAGTCACGCAATGCTATCACGCAGCCAGGAAGTAATTCGTCACTAATTCCTATTAACGCCCCTCCTTTTATATCAGATCTATTTTTTTATTTATCTTGATGGTCTTTTAAAACAACACATTAAGATGCATTTAAAATCACGATTTTCGGTTTTAAATTCATCAGCGATAGTCTTCTCCATTCTATTCAAGTTGTTCTCAAAGCAATGTTCCTTAAAATTTATGACCATCAGATAATCAAAACCCCACCTGACAAAACTTAAAGAACAGTGTTACCGCAGAATTGTGCGTGGCTTAACCCTTTACCTCCCATAAGTGACAAACACAGAATTTCTCCTTACAATAGCAATACAATGTCATGCAGAAAAGTGATCTTAATCTAAATGTCTGATCTGCAAAGGGCAATACAGTCCATCTTCAGCAGATATACCCACCCATCCTATCTCAGGGGAGGACATCCACCGTACAGTAATCTCGTGGGTGGGAAATTAACGTCTCTTACCCCTAAACCTGCAGGATACGGGGCCTACGGTTTATTCGTCCTTATCCGAGAAGACTAGAATATCTATATCTATCCATTTCTTGATATTATAGAAAGGTAGCAAATTCTCCTCAGTTATTTTAAGACCCTGTGGTTTGGTTCAGCACATCAGTCCGGCGCTCTACCAACTGAGCTAGCCAGGATGAGAATGAAGAAGAATTTCAAATAGGGGATCATTAGTTTATCCAATACAAAATTCTCCATCCTTGCATCGTAAGAATTATAAAGCATACAGTAAGGAGAATTTCTAAGAAGATCTTGAGAGTGAAAAGGTTAAGTTTTTTTTTTCTTTGCGTGTCGTTGTGGTAGTCTGGGCCGAGCGCTAGGTTCGGGATGACCACGCCAGCTCGATTCGTTCAGTGAACGTTTTCGCGTTAAATTTCTAGTCTTACAGTTTATTTACGGCTTTACAGCTTTACGATCATTGTTACGGATAGAATGACTATAAGGTTTTTCTCAAGGTCGAAAGGACACAGCTGTTTTGTCTTTCTGTAGTAATAGTAATCTTTAATGAGGATGCCAACGTCACGAACGGGTTTACAGAAGGGTCCTCAAAAGAATACTAAGATTAGATTAAGAACTAGTTAAACATACAAAAATGTAAAAGATTAAGAAAGTATATAGAATCATCAAGCATCAAATATAACCAGTTAAAAATACAAGAATGTAAAAGATAAAAAGAATATACAAAGGGTAAAAAGCAAAGAATGTCGTTAAGAATCAAAGATAGCTTTGGAGATGCGACGTTTAATAGCAGGCGGTGACTCTGCATTCCTTAATGAGATGCCTAACCCGTTCCATTTATCAGCGCTAAATTTCCCAAACGACCAATGATCCCATCTGCTTGTGGCACTGAATTTCCAAATGTCCTTTTTCGATCTTGTGTAGTAACTATAATAACCACCATTGAATGTGACAGGGATAGAGTGACAGAAATAGTTGTTAATTAATTCATACATAAAAATAGTATGATGTTCCTTTCTACGTCGCAAAAATGGCTTCCAGCGAGAGTCTCTTTAGCACCTCAGTAGCAGAAAAATTTGCAGGAAAATCTAAAATGAGGCGAGCGGCCTTATTCTGTAATACCTGTAAATCAGACATTAAGGAGGCATTTCCGCGATCTCCCCAAATGATATCCTCAGAGTCAAAAAGAGGTGAAATGAAACTACTAAAAAACATAATGCTAGCATTGAGGGGGAGGCTAGATTTAATACGCCTTAAGAGACCTAACTTTTTACTGATCTTACCACGAATATAATCAGTGTGGTCAGTCCAGGAAAACTGGTTATTAATCACAATACTCAAGTACGTATGAGAATCTACAATATCAAGAGGGATATCATCAGCAGAAATAAGGTTGGCCCCAACTTTGCTTAAGTGGGAACTACTGCCAATAAGTAAAAAGTTTGGATTTCTTAACATTCAGAGTAAGTTGGTTGGCCCAAAGCCAATTACATAGGCATCTTAAGTCAGCATTAATCTGGCTTTGTAAGTCCACAGTAGATTTGGAGGTGAGATATAGAACAGTGTCATCTGCATATAAAGTGACCTGACATAACTGTAGAACGTAAAGTAGATCATTCATGTAAATTATAAATAGAAGCGGGCCCAATATAGAGCCTTGAGCAACGCCATTCGAAACAGGTGCAACTTTGGAACATCTTTTCCTAGTTTTCGTTACCTCATCTCATCTCGCCTCGATCGATTAATGTGATTATGTATAATATTTGGATGGAAACCTACGAATGTAAGGACTCTGTGAATAAACAAGTTGCTGTTTTATGTGTAATCTTTGTTCGTCTTTTTTCGTGTTGTTCGGACCGCAGCGATCATAACAAAGACAGTTTTGCGACGACAATAGTTCGTGACGTGAAAACTAGTCCTAAGTATAAAATCTTTTATTAAATATTCATAAGATAAAAATTATGTACACATTTATGAACAGTCATTGTGAATTTTCTTTCTTAAAGCATGTATTTTTTCTTTGTACACTCTAGTAAAATAAACGTAGAGTTTGTAACGTGAAGCATCATCATCATCATCATCATAAACTTTATTTCATCTAGAATTTTAGATTAGCTTGTTGGAGCTAATATCTTCGAGAAAACATAAAATGGAGATTATCCATATATATTCATACATATATCTGTACAAGATCTAAAATACTAACTATACTAAAATATACTAAAATACACAGTATTTAGAAATATAATTATGTAACATATCAGTAGAAATTAACAGAAAAGTGAAGATAAGCGGGAGCGACTACACAAAGTCGCTCCCGCGAGATTTCTCGATCGAAACAACTAAAAAACATGAAATGGAGATTATCCATATATATTCATACATATATCTGTACGAGATCTAAAATAATAACTATACTAAAATATACTAAAATACACGGTATTTAGAAATATAATTATGTAACATATCAGTAGAAATTAACAGAAAAGTGAAGATAAGCGGGAGCGACAAAACAAAGTCGCTCCCGCGAGATTTCTCGATCGAAACAACTCTATACTTTCGCCCCTATACAAAGCACAAGTCCTACCTATTAAAACTTATCTTAACTATTTATTTGGATAAAAACTATATATATATTCAAGGACATTCATTGTGAGTTTTCCTTCATGAAACATATTTTTTTCTCAGTACACTCTGGTAAAATAAACAAACACATTGTAACGTGAAACACAATTCCTTAGTCTGAAAACTTATCTCACCTTTTTATTACACAAAAAAAAACTCTGTATATTTTAAGTAACATTCATTGTGAGTAAACTTTTATAAAATATTTTTTTGTGTGGGTACTCTACACACCGCGTTAAGATGTATATTTTGAAAACATATTTTAACCCTATAGGATGAACGAAAATTACAGAGAATAGAAAACTATGAAAAAAAAAAAAAAACCGAACAGAGCAGACTGTAACGGAGTGAAGAGGGATGGAAAGAAAAAAGATAAGAATAAATTAACGACCTGATATTAATTACTCCATCTTACTATGGGCACCACGATTGGTCAATTTAACGGGCGTATTTCATCTGCTACAAAATAAGTGATGGTTCGAGCAACCCATTGCATGGCTACGACTATCGTACATATTTATACTATTTGAAACTTGTGCGACTTGTTGCAGAGGAAGAATTCCGTCGGAAACAATTCGATTTTCACAATAATTCTCCTTGTCACACAAAGCAAATTTACCAGGAGACCTTACATCCACGAAGTATTGCAGCGACTTGTTTTTAAGTGTTTTTCGGCCGTCATCCGGAAAAGCCCTACAGTTCACTGATTAGACCACGCCCTTAGAGGAAAAATTCTGTCGCACGATGATGTGAGAAAATATCACTCATATTTAACCAGGTCTTTACTGCCATAATTTTTTTTTTTTTTTAACTTAAATCATTCTCTCTCTTCCGGTGGCATATCATCTCTAGTAACAAGGTCGAGTTCTTCCATTATATGCCAGTTCACATTACCATACCCCATGTTCGTTAGGCACAGCATTATCTCCCTACTTGAAGCCTTTTCTCCTTTTTTCTGGCGCCACTTTTTCAATGCTTCCCTACAGCGCTCTTCGACATCCTCCTCATCTTCTTGAATATTGTCAATAACACTTTGCTGGATCTTCAATTTACTGGCGAGTTTCTTCCACAATGAACCTGTTCTCAATTTCTCAGCTACCACATTAAGCACACCTTCAGTGGGCGGTTGGTTAATCAGAGCTTTAGCTGACGAAAACAGGTACAAAGGAGTCGAGTCAGAGAACGGTTATTATTTATCGCCTGGGGAGGGAAGGGGGAGAGGATTTTGGTTGTGTCACGACAAAATTGACCTGATCCCTCCCTAGGCTCTTTAATATTTGATGACCCCCTTATTGACAGTAAATTGGTATAGTTCCCCCTTTTTATTCTGTTAACGACGACTGAACCTTCTCCCTCCGCTCCCCCTGAAGCCCATATGGTCCCCCCCTTCCTACAAGCGCGATATAAAACGATCGACTGGTCCCTTGTGTCGAACGCTAACCCTCGAGGTTAAGGACACTTCTTGGTCAACGTGAAACTATATTAGTGTAAATGTGTTAATAATGTTCTTCTCCAGACACTTCGCAAACCCACTACTTCGAGCTACCAAGATCTCAACCTCGGCAAAACGATCACATATTTTCGTTCGACGCCATGCTTGTCGCAAACAACACGCGGTAGCTAAGCAAGCAAAGATGTTATGTTACATAACAGTCTCTACATATTAATTTTCTCTAAAATTATGACAACGACGTCACACAAACTCCGTTTCTTAGTGGTTGCTTGTTCCGCCTGGGGTTGCTCAGTATGCAAAGGTTGGATGGAAAAGTTTCATCGAGCGCAAAAAGAGGCCATTTAAAAGCAATGTTGAGAGGTGAGGTTTAACGGTCAAACATAATCTTCCAACGTAAAGTTGCGTGAACGAGTCTCACCAATCAGTAATTTTTTTTTTAATTTAGCAACTACAAAAAAATTTAACGTTGAGTCGTATAGCCTGATTGTTAGTCAAAAGCAACCATTCCAAGTCAGAAGCCTAAGTAGGTAAAAAAAAAAGTTTTCACTTTTTCGGTTAAAGCTATTTTCGGGGTTCTTCTAACCATTTGGACTTTCTGCGACATAATTAAAAAATGCAAGAATGTAAATTCTCGTAGGAACAGAAAGAGCGAACAGATTTTGTAGTGGGAAACGTAGAAGTGGTGAGCACTCACTAAAATTTACCTTTGATGAGGTGATTTCCAATGTGTTCGGTTCCCTGACTGCTTTGCAAACATTCAACAATCTTTTCAAAGCACTTTTGTTGGTCATCTGGTGGCAGGCTCGCCAGCGCTTTGTAAAAACTACATTTATCTTGTACGTCGTTCCTTCCTAAATGACTTCGAAAAATATTCCCGTGGTTTATTTTTTCTAACACTTCGCCGCATGCTGCTAGGATTTCCACAAAAGGAGCATGCTGAAGAATGCTCTTTTCATCCAAAGGAACTCCAAAGAAATCCACGGGAGTCTTCTGCAAGAAAAATTGCGTTTAAGCATACAATAGACCACCTTTAAGGGTTGAGTTTACGGTTATGGTTAGAGAAGGAAAATAGCGCTCCGTGATTCAAGGACCAGTCACTCTAGATCACTTGGTGGGAAGGTGGGCAGGTTAAAAGGGGGGGGGGGGTCAGAAGATTTTGGTTACTCTTATGATCCACACCCCCCTACACACACACACACACACTTGCACATACGCACACACGCACGCATGCACGCACACACACCACAAACACACACACACACACTCTGGCAGTTAATTTACAGTCAATTTTCTTTGCACTGTCCCCCCATTATACTCTTTGGAGACGATTGATCTTCTCTCCTTTCCTTCTTAAAAAGATGTGATCCCAAAAAATCCTTCGCCTTTCCTCTCCCTTACCCCCTCCCCGGCAATAAATATTGACTGGCCCTTAAAGATTCCTCTTCTTTAATGGATTTAAAAGGATTTTTCGGGAAGAGTCTGGGTGTGTGCAGAAGATTGCAGTTGGCTTCCCGTCAATGACCTTTCATACCGGCCACGCGTCAACCCATCAGAATAAAGTCAAGTTTAGTCCAGTTTATTTGGTTGGAGATAAATGTTAAGGCTAAGTCTTTCCAGAATTCTTTTTTACATAATTGCGCCCTTACCTCAATGTCTCTTTTCAGAGGGGGTAGATCCATTTCTAGTTTGCACAGTTTATTGTCTGCCGTCTGTTCTCTGCTGTTGTAGAACTCTATTTTTAGCCATCCTTTTTCTACTACATGCACCCTCAAACTCCTCTTTATGGAATCGTCTTTTTCAAATCTGCAAGGCATGGTTACAAAGTCTTGACGGATAAGGAAGATTAAGGGATAACTATCTCTTAGAGTTATCCGTAAAAAGATTCTTTTCCTAAGTTTTTGATAGGATGAGGTTCGCTAAAGTAAATAGGTCAATAAATTGTGGGCCATTTTGAGCAGTGCTTGACCGTCACGATTCGGAAATTGATGTTGTTCTGCCAAATCGCAGACACAAATTTCCATTTAATTATCTTGTTCTTACAAGCAGTAGCTTCGTGATAGCAATAAAATTGAAATAAATTTCAGATCCACGAGGAGGCATTGTACATTGGCCGTTCGCACCCAGAACTGAATATACAGATGCAACCTAACTGTAGTTTTTTTTCTACATAGATTTACCCGCGAAGTGTTACATTCGTGCTCGCTATTGCGTACTTCAACTATTGTACCGTTAATAACTTCAAATGTTGTATTCGATTTAAACTAATAACGTATTTGCATGTAACGAGTAAAAACAAAGTAAACGGTTCAACACTTTAAGCTGATGATGACATGGATTCATGCCCAAACATTTAATATCGTCATGAACAAGCATTATATGATGCATTTTAAGTCCCTAACATCTGATAGACGAACAGCCACTAGTCTAAGAATAGATTAATTTGTAAGTACCGACTAAGTTCCCTTTCGTTTTACAGAGTGACTGACGGTCGCACCATCATGGTAACAAATATTTCACATTTTTTTTGTAATTTCAGATCAAACCAGATAGAGTTATCGGCAACTGCCCCTCGAAGTCTTACCTGACATAAAAATCTTTTAAATCCGCGACTTCCGCCGGCTGAACTACGCTCCCTGAAAGAAACACATAAGCCCTTTCGTGTGGTACCATATTATCCCATGCGTTTTCTTCTTCTAACAAGAATTCCTCTTCATCTTTAATGTGTTTCCTTGTCGCGTTACTTGAACTGCAAATCACACGAAGCATTTTTGTAGAGCCTAGGCTTGTATTTGCTGGAAGACAAGCTGTAAAAACTGCCACTTGGGGCACATCTTCTGTGTTAAAGCTACGCGCTAATTCAATGATTGGTGACATGACGGGTTTAACGCACCAATCTATCCAACCCCAAAGTCTGCAATGAAGCAAAAACAACACCAGAATTACCTCCTTCCTGCAACAACCTTAAGTTTAAAACATAAAATAAGCCGCTCGTCATTCAGAAGACAAATAACAGAATGATGATAATAATTATAACAATAATAATTATAATAATAATAATAATAATGACCATAATAGTGTAATTACTAATAATATTAAAAGTATTTGTAATAGGACTACACGCTGTCCAATTTGGAAATAATGATTCCTAACGCTTTGTTTTGCGTTGAGTTCTTTTTGTTCTGATTTGAGAATTTTCCAATAATGCTCTTCTAGAAACGTAAGAAGCCAATGAAAAACTTCCAGCAATTTAAAAGCAGATGGTTACTTTGGCATACCTCGAGAAGTGCTTTACATTGAATTTGATGACAGTGCCATCCAGCCATGGAGAGGAATCATCGGTAATTTCAATCCAATCTAATTGGGTTCCATTAGATGGTAGAAACAAGATTCTAGCACTGGCTAATGACAGATCAGGGATACCCAATGATTCAGTACCCTGCTCATTGTCTCTCAAGGATAGCGGCAGCTGTACAGTGACTGGTTCCTGAAATTTGACCTCCTTGCTGCACTGAATACTTAATATCGGGCCGGCCAACATCTCCTTGTTTCGTAACTCTCTCCTTCGAAATTCTTGTATCTACAAGTGGTGGAGTAACAGAAAATTAGAAAGTCAGAAAGTTAGTCTTCAGTAAATTGTGGGCAGCAAAACATTTATGTGTAAAACACTGATTAAAAAAAATTAACACAAAGTTGAAGTTTAACCCAGACATCATCATGCGTATACTCTATTCTGTTCTCTATGCATTTCCTAAGGTGCTAATAACAAGGAGAATTTGTTCCTCAATCAAAAGCTTCTCTCGTTCGTGGTCATTTTCTTTGTTCTCATAACCTTCACGTGTGATTCAGGGGTGATATTGTAAGGATAATAAGATGCTAGTCATTATTAGGGGTCAAAGACTTGACACTTCTGGTTCAGATTCCCCACCCCAGCAAGGTAAGGTTCAAATTCACCACCACCCCCAAGGCACAGACGACGGTCAAATGCCTGTGGGTTACCCAGAGAGGAATTTTGAAGCTCCGAGTCGATCGGTGCAAAAAGTATAACATTGTGCAAAAGTTAATAAAGGCGTAGTAAAGTAATAGAAATTATAATAGATTTCGCGACTGAATGACTGAAAAAAAAATCATCTACAACAACATTTTCAGCAAATTATTCGCTCACTGACTCAACGAATCTAGGAATGGTCTTAACACAACTTGCGTAATATTCAGACTCACTGTGACTGTCACGTGAAATTCTTCCGTAGCGGCAACAGAATTTGAGGGGAAGTGCACTTTGACCAATGGGAAGCCTGGTAATGAAAATGATGACGGTTGCGACGTTATGGTGAACTTGTGGGCCTTGAGACGGCAAACCACTGCAAATATGCAACACTGGGTAATCTTCGTCTCAGCAACAGGAAGAACATAGTCAGGGAAATCATCGCGATAAGCCATTTTCAGATCTGAAAGCAAGGCACGGAAAAAATGTAGAAAATGTTACCAGTTTAAAAGGGGGTCATTGCACTTGATCACACCTTGAAACTTCGTCCTGTCCCGGCTCGTTTATTTTTATATGTAACTTGGCAGGTTGACACACTTATCTAGTTCGGTATGCAAGCGAGTGATGTTATTGTTGTAAGCTTTGTACTGAGTAAGGGATTTTAGAATTGTGATCTGTCAAACTAAAAACTGTTTAGACTTTCTTAGTAAGCTGTGCAAGTTATGTAACAGGTGGATCGTGTCCATATAAAATGCTTGTGGGTTACCCAGAGGGGAATGTTTAAACTCCAAGTCGATCGGTGCAAAAAGTACAACGTTGTACAACAGTCAATAAAGGCGTGGTAAAGTAATAAAAAATAAGATATTTCGCGACTGAATGACTGAAAAAGAAAAAAGAAAGAAATCCTTGAAAAGGCTAGTTAAGAAATGAACAAGCTACCATTTTTATATCAAAGGAGACCATATGCGTAATAAATTGACGATAAAAGCCAGCCTCCACCTGATACAGATCGAAAGTCGACTGTTTTTTCAATGTCCTTCCATTCATTTCTTTCTGCGTCTGTCAAAGTCTTTATCACCACTTCATATCCTCGTAGGTCTGGTCCGCTGTGCGAGATTCCCACAGTGACTTCTTTGTTGAATTGAAGACCTTCAGCGTCTTCTGCCGATAGCTCAAGAACATTGCTTACTACAGCTTCGTTTGGCTGAAGAGGAGGTGAACACAGGGAGGGTTTCCATCTGAAAAGGGTCAGTGTAGTGTCCTCAACAACAAAATCAGGTGGAAATACCAAAAGAGCTGCTCCCTTCCTGGCGTCCCAATGGCCACCTTGTACTATTACAGTGTCTCTGTGAATGCAAGATGATAAATTAGTTAAATGTTGTAATCTTGTGACTGGGTATGATTTCACATCATCTTGATATAGCAGATGGCGATACTTTCAGAAAAACTGCTTTACCATTATAATCACCTCTCGCGGGTTGATTATAGGAAAATATGAAGTAATTCTCGACCAATCAGAGAGCACGTCTCCACGATCATCTATGCTATTATACAAAGATAAGATCATGGGTAACAGTTATGCGTTTACTTGAAGATGATGGTTCTGTCTTCAGTTTGAACATCTTCATCTGTGTCATCTGACATCTCAGCTTCAACTTCACTTTCTCCTTCTGAACTAACTTCGATTTCCTCTTCTTCCTCTTCGCTATCCTTCTCCTCTTCCTTAGCTTTGGGAGACATCGGTTAGAAAAAAAATTGAGAGCGTCAACAAAAGGCAAGGTGCCATATTTACAACTCTATGCAAACTATGAAACTATGCATCTGTTCAAGAAGAAAGACGAGATCCTAGACAGCGTGAATCGTGCTAAGATTTCTCTTTCAGATCTTCGAGTTTAAAAGAAATTCAAATTCTACACAGTTTCATTACCTCTTGGTCTTAATATAGCTCCTGGATGTTTCCCAGTTTCATTCAGCGCCTGTAGAAAAAAAACACAACAATTGAAGACAGAAACTTAGAAACCACAGGTATCTGCATTTTTAGAATAGTTCGTGGCCCTTTTTGCCTCGGTAAATCACAAATCAAAAAGGTTTATGTTTATTACAATATCACAATAAATGCGCAAGCAAATCTGTTGGCATTATTATTCACACAATTAGAATAATATTAGAATAATAATATTAATAATAATATTAATAATAATATTAGAATAATATTAGAATAATGTCCAATCGAGAGGATTCGTCGTCAGTGGTAGCTAGAACGTGTGAAAACAGATAACAAAGCGAAACATGACAAAAACATACATCGAATGATGGGATTAACTCTCTAACTCCCAAATTTCCATATTAAGAGGATTATTAGTTGATCCAAAAGCAAATTATCCGAACTAACATCTTAAGGATTGATTGGTGGGTCTTGGGAGTAAAAGAGTAAGACGTCGTGTGTGCAAAGTGAATGGAAAACAGCCGATACAAACGGCTGCTTGGATAACAAAAAAGTTCAACATTTACTTTCCTTGATAAACAAGGCGTGATCCTACCTGTAATGCATTTTTGTAAAGTTTCTCACTCGTGTCATCTCCAATGGACGATGCCAGCTCCTTGAGTTTACGGAGATGCTTTTTCATCTCAGGGTCCTTCATCTCAGCATGCTTCATCTCCCAGATATCTTCATAAAAGCTCAATGCCTCTTGTCCATATCTTCTGTGCATGTTAACTTTCTTAAGTTCCTGACATAGATTGAGAATTCCCTCGATTGTTTCCTTCCTATCAACGCCGATCTTCTCCGTTTTTTCTTTGCTTTTCCCTTCTTCCCACTGCCCTCGCCACGAAGCCAGCAATCTCTCTCGGAATTCCATGATTGATCCTTCCTGTCCTATCTCTTTATAAAGTTCTTCTACCTTAATCTTCAATGATGCTTTATCTAGTCCTTCCTCTTTGTTTCCAAGGAAACCCACTCTCTCCAGACACATTTTGTACACAGCCACCTTCGCCATTTTGTATTTCGTCACCAGCTTCCCTTGTTCATGAAGTTGAGAAGAGAGCTCCACCATCTCGTCCAAGAGATTGTCTCTTTCACTCAGTATGATACAGAGAGCATCATTATCAGTTTCCAAATCAAACTCTTCTTGAAACTCTTTCTCGTTGGCATTGCACCTTGCCTCGTAGAACCGAAGCTGTCCCTTTTGTACAACAACTTTGTCTTTCTCATCATCAGCAAGGTCACTCAGGGCATCAACGATGCCTTTGTTATACTCATTGAATGTGAATTGTGGAGAAGCTTTCTGTTCTTCCCAGAAACGTTGACAAAACTCGAAGGCCTCTTTTCGAAATGATTTCTTCCGTCTTCCACTCTCTGTCCAATCACACATATCTTCCACACCTGTGATTATCTTTCGCCACACCTCACTGTGGTTTCCCACGCCAAGTTTCTTTTCCATCTCCCATGCTTCAAGAAACAGATTCAAAGCTTCTTTTGGATGTTCAAGATTGGCCTGAAGGACCCCTTGTTGAAAAATGCTTCGCACAGTCTGTCGGTGATCTCCAAGAAGCTTCTTCCTTATACTGTAAGCCCTCTCTGAAGGTTCAATTGCCTCTTTATATTTCTCTTGAAACATGAGTGCATTAGCGAGATTTCTTTGGAAATGTGCCTCGTCCCCATAACCTGAAAGTTTAAGTTCCTCCAGTAGACTCAGTGCATTGCTGTAACATTCCTCTGCCTTTGCATAATCTTCCAGGCCTTCATATGCAGTTCCAATCTGATTCTTGTACATTGGCATGTCTAAGTGGTTCTCAGAGCCGGCTAAATTCTCTTGCATCCTATAGGCTTTTTCATAGAACTCCAATGCTTTCCTGGGCTGATCTAAAGCAAAAAAGGTGTTTCCAATAGCATTGTAGCACCTTGCAAGATCACTATGCTCCTTTAGAAGTGGTTCAGAGAAAGTTAAGGACAACTCTAGACTTGCCATTGCTTTCTTATAGTCTCTGTTTCTATAGAGGATTTCACCTTCAGTATGCAAGTAAAGCCCCTTGGTGAGCTCAAAGGATTCACCAGTTTGATGAAGTTGAAAGA